CAGGTTCTCTTGTTCAACGGTATCACACGACTCTGTGGTATAGTGATATCTAGCTTTGATAGTGGGTCGTTCGGCAGTTCGATGAATCTTGATCAGATCGTGAAGTATGAACCCCATAACTATAGTATAATTAGTATCAGAGTTATATGTACCGCATACTGCCTGATCTCGAATACTTGAACCTTAACTTGGAGGGCATCTGGCTAACTCGGCATTCATCTGCCATCACCTGCCGGTTGTGGAGTCTCGCTCTTCTGAAAGGGGAAATAGGAAAAGAGAATGGAGGAAATGGGAGAGTGTTTTCCCCTTCGCACTGGTCATTTTCTCGTGGCTGTCACAAATAATCTATATCATGACATGCATTTGGCTTAGGAAATAGGTTGAGGCAGCCAGTATCCATATAATAAGAATGGATGTCTTGCCTTAAATCTTAAGCAGAGGGATAACAACACAGTGATGAAACAAGAATTCACGTTAGATCAACATGTATCCAATGATCTCTATTAACATTGTAGATAAAGCCCTCGACTTTGGACGGAAGTGAGTCATCACCGTATTTTATAATACCTACAATGTACGAGGTACCTTTCCATGCACACTTTCTACTGTTGGCCCTTCAAAAGTGACACCGGCTTCAACCTGAGCCGTAGAGCTGGGACATTGATCCCTGCCGTCCTTCTGACCACATGGGCGGGTGGGATTGTGTGTGACACGCCAACATTAACTATTACTGGAAATTAGAGCCTTGCATTCATTGGACTTCATCTTTCCACCCGATCGGCTGGTTTGACACGAGGATCACGGGGTCTCATTACCTGGATATACGAGGTGGAGGTGATGCTTAGAGAACTATACAAATGACCCGACCTTGTTCGATGTTCATAATTCGCCTCTTCACTGATACGGAACTGGAGAACTAGCCCATTGTTCAATGCAGCGCGATCGGACAGAGCGCACCCACTAATGCCCCTCCCCTCGAAAAGGAATAAATAGACGATCACGATGGATTATGATTCCACACCCTCTCTGAGGCTGATGAAATGTGTCCACTCTCCGTCGTTAGAGGTACACGTCATCTGATATAAGTCCGTTATGATATAATCCTGAAGCATGAGTGCCCTGGCATGATGGTCAGCCATAGCATGGTTGTACTATGGATACACACCCAGGTCCAGACCCAATGAAGCGCCGACCTGCAATCTTATAATGTTTGTTTGAGGTGGGAATCTGACACCCAAACCGATATTGGAATGGCCAATAGGCACTCGGGAACCAGAATCAGGGGCAGAGGTCGGATTTCTTCCGTTAGGTGTGAGAGACCCAGACCCTAAAAACAGTCTTCGGGGTTGTGGACGGATTAGGGAGGTAGTACCATTGCGCTCGTCCTTTCCCTCTGATCTCTGTGCGAGGCTAGATGTAGGGACTTGTGCTTGTGGCACGGTGCATGGTACTGGATATTGCATGTGTACTCCGTACTCCAGTGCACATGCAATGCACATCTCGCATTATACATTTTATGGTATACAACATATAACGCAAGAAGATTATCTACGATTCTAGTCGAACGTTTCAGATAGATCACGCTAACAAGCTATATGTTAGGTCTAGTTAAGATGATACCCACGGCGTGCTCGTAGTTTCGCCGAGCCGCCGAAGATGAAGCTACAATCCCCCGAGACCGTAAAACCAAACCGGATCTTCGTCGACGCCAAGTTCCCTAATAATGATCGCCCCTTAGTGCTAAACCTTTTGAAAGTTGCGGGATTTCTTAGTCGGACCCAAAGGAAGCATAGTACGGACGCCACTGAGACTAGTCGGATTGTGAGTTTGTTCAATTTTCTTCTTCAAGGTGCGTGCATTTGCCTGTGCATGTGCTTATATGCTATGCCTCTTTTCGATATCGCCGAACCCTAAGGGAAAAAAATTAAAATATCTTCACATCTTATTCAGCCATTCAAGCGTCTAACCGATTTAGCCCTGTAAGATTTATGAATATCGAGATATCGACATACTCCGTACCTCCTCCCACGGTTCCCAGTCTGTACGGGCACTGTCCGTTCACGAAGAGATCGACGGTCAAGTACCTGGATCTTGATCGATTCACCACGCCACATGTAAAAAGTCGGAGGTTAGGATCTGATTTGTTCAATCGTTTGTGGGGTAATTCGATTCAGTTCGTATTCCCTTTGTCTAACCGCTTCGACTCGGAGTCCAGTCTGGAACTCCCCGCGCTTAGATCCTTGGCTTGTGATGGGCTGTGCAGAATATTTCTTTTTCAATATACACTATTTGGTTCATGTTATCGAATTTAGTTCCTCCCGGTGTGTTCCTCCCGGTGTACTCCTACCCCGTTCTTTTGGTTCTCGGACTTCGGCGGTTATACTATTCCTGATACATCACATTTACTTACGTATTTCCTTACGTTATGTCGAACGGAAAGAATTAAAAAAAGATATATATATCTTCTCGCGTCTGAAGTAAATTCGTTACTGACATCTGTCATTCGCGCCAATTGAGTTTCAACAAGCGTGCGTCAACCGGTCCTTTGGGACTATGGGATCGTGACTCTAAAATATAACCACGGAGCACTGTCCTCCGACTATCTAACAACCTCCCCAATTCCATTCTCCTTCTCGACGTAAAATAAAATCCATTCTTTAATTTGCTCAATCTCCCTCTATAGCAAAAGTGCCGATCCCTCAAGTGTTTAGTATGGCTTGACCGGGGTGCATAGCCAGGCCACATGTCAATGGCTTGGCTGAGACTAGGTGAGACTCGAGAGCGTGGCAGTGTGGCCTGGATCTGCTGAGGATCTCCCGCGAAAGTTTTGGACCATCCAATCCAACCCCAGTCATGAATTTTCGGTCTTACGCTGCGTAGTTACTGGTCACTGGCTCACCAGTTTAATTAGCTACGGGACCCTCTTGCCCCTAAGTTTTTCGAGAACTTAGCCCTGAGCAGTAAAGTGAAGTTACCGAAAACTTTCCTAAGCCCGGAAGCCTAACCTTCTTTTTATTCTGTTTATTTAATCGGTGTCCCGGTTCTAGAGATCCGTCTCTGCTGAGTGGGATGCTTAAATGAGCCTGTTCTGGTTGCTGGATTCCCGTTAGTCTACATAGTATACATTATTGTACAACGGGACGTAGATTGTATACTGATTCGATGGGGTCAAGGCGGAGATCTACCCTCTGGAACGCGCTCAGTCCTCTATTTCTCTTTGGGGAAATTCCACAGACCGTCAGAATGGGAGACCAGTCATGAAGCAGCAAATTCATCAAGTATAACAGTCACCGATACCCGGACCCGGAGAAAAAAAAAAGACAAAAAACAGAAAAAAATAGGATAGAATAATCACCAGTGTGATGGAATTTGACCCGCGTCTGACTGGCTGCTCCAGACCGTGAAGGATCTTTATCCTTGACTACCGTTGGATGATCATGACCCGGAGTTCAAGGTGGAGGTCACTTATTTTCAATAGCTCGGTGTGCGCGATGGGCCCCATCAGAGATATGACGCCCTTGGAGGAAAGACATGGAGGTTCCCAAGGTTAAACCCACTGAGACAAAAGTCGATCCTTTCTTTGATGGGGCGTCAGATGGAAAAAGTGGGGGATAGAGATGAAGGAGGCCAATGAACGGCGTCCGCTGTGACTACTCGGATCAATGGACACAGCCCAGGAAGGTCTTCCAGTGTACGGAGTACCGTTGACTATGAACTTGAGCACATGCTACCATCGTTCTCTGGGTTCCAGGTGTGCGCTGAGTCAGAGACCTGTAAGGTAGAATTTGGTATCTCGTCCGTCATACTAGGGTCGAATCGACATGGGAGCTACCTTGAATCCTGGTATAGTCACGGAGACCCTCCGATCCAAATCCACGGCTCCACCGGGATCATCCATGGCACAGCGAGTGATTGTATCTTGACCTGCTCTATGCTTTTCCTTTTACTTTGTATATACGGAGCCGTATATACTTTGATTGACTTGTCTTAAGAGCTAGTCTAGGTATAAATACTCTCTCGAACACAATCACCTTTATCATCTAGTCGAAGCTCTCCAGTGGAACTGTACCTGCTTCTTGCGGAGGGTTTGGTGAAATCATGACTTTACTGTTTCATTTTCCGTATATCTCCGCTCTTCCCCTCCGCTCTCCCCCGAATTCCACCGTCTTTTCTTTTCTTTTTCTTTTTTTCTTTTCTTTTTCCTTTTCTTTTTTTTTCGATTTCTGGGTCGACTATACCATATTCAGAAAAATAGCAAATAAATCAAAAATCAATTAAAATCCCAAAAAAAATCCAAAAATCCAAAACAGCCCCAAAAACATAATATCGCATGTCATATCTGTCATCGATACACCAGGCCTCAGCGTTCTTTGTAGTCTCCGGGTCCAACCCTCCGAGGTCTTTTTTTTTTTTTTTTTTTTTTTTTTTTTCTGAAATCTGAGTGATGAAGCCCAGACTCCCGGGTGACCAAACCGTACCTCTCTTACAATATTGTATCGAGATTTCTAAGGTATAAAGTCCAAAGAATAAAGTAAATGGGGATAAACCAATAAACTAAAATCAGAATTAATCTATTATCTTTTGTGGAGAATATCACTCAGACCTCTCTCCCCCTTCGTACTTTTTTTTTTTTTTTTTCCCTCTTAACTAGCCAGGGATCCTATTTAGGTACATAGTTATTCCTTCCCCTTCCCTTCTCTCAGTGGATCCCCAAAGAAAAAGAAAGCTTGGGAATTGCCGCAACTCAAACCGTGGAACGGGTTTTTCTAGTAGATCCCCATCTTTTTGAAAGTGCAACCTTGCTCGAACTTGAGAAGGCCCGTGCTGGCCGATCCCTAGCAATTCTCGACCTGAGGGGTCTTAACTCAAAACCTCCTCTTCTCCATACCCTGGTCGATCGCTTTACCTTAATTCTTTTTTTTTTCTTTGAATCGGGGAATATATCACTTGCAAAAGCCCGGGGGGTTGGGATTGTATCTCTTTTTCATACTCTATACATCATGGTGAACGGGACCGCCGCCGTGTTGGAACCCACTTTCACCGGGTATGTCGCAACCACTCAAGATGCCCTGATACTCTTCGAAGCTTGCTTGACCGGGGTCTTGCATCACGTTCCACGTCGCCCGCATGATCGCGAACGGAGTCATCTCGTACGCAGCGGGAGTGTCTTCATCTATGAGGAGAACGCCTCGGGGATCAAGCGATGGACCGATGGAGTGACCTGGAGTCCGAGTCGCATTCTGGGCAACTTCCTCGTTTACCGTGAGCTAGACAAGCCTTTTCCTCCCGGAGAGAAGAAGCGCGCCATGAAGAAAGCCACTCGACGACCAGTGCCAACCGGCCGACCAGGCGAACCTTACCCACGACACGATAGCAGCCAGGGCTACTCTCCGACATCTCCCAACTCGATTCCCTTCTCAGACCGTTCCTCCCACCAATCGGAGCTCGAACGGTCGTTGGTTGGGTCCCTGGTGGATTCCTACGGCTTCAAGGACTCCGGATTAGTCAAGAAGACGATGAGCGTGACGGTGCTGGGTGTGACCCACCATTTGGTTTCATACTACAGTGTGGAGGATGTGATGCGCGGGATCCTCAACCCACCCTCGGTGGTGGACTCGCTACGTTTTATCCGACCCCGTAACGAACTCACCCAGAAACAAAGCTTCCGCTCCCCGATTGACGAGATAGACGCCAGCGCGGTGGACAGCCAGGAGCCCTCCCACGTCGCGCTATACGGATATCGTCCGCAGATGATGGCCCCACCCACTTACCCCATGCCAACCGCTTCAAACGACTTCTACATGCACCCCGGTTCGTATGCCGCCACACATCCTCCGCAGCAAGGCACGATCCAGGGATACTCGATGGGTGCACCGATGGCAGCCCAAGCGGCACCAAGCCAATACCTGCCAAGCCCAGGGCAGTCCATTCCCCCAAAGCAGGAAGATTACCACTCATTCCGCGCGGGGCCCTACGGCGGCAGCATGGACTCGATGAGTGGGCACAGCATGGCCTCGATCCCAGGCCTCAGCACGGGACTCTCCAGTTCGCTCAGCGAGCGCAACAGATCCACCTCGGAACACAGTCCTTCCGCATACCGCAACTCTTCCCTCTCTTCGCGCAGCCAAGCCACAGACGCTACTTCGCCCATGGATCCATCTACCCCGGCCACCTACTCCCGGGGCAGCTTCAGCATGTCCGGCCAGCTGGATAGTCAACACCCATCATTCGACCGCAACATGCCTGGTCTCGATCCGACCGTGCCTCGTCGCGAATCAAACCCCATCCAGCCGTACTACAATACGGATCGCACCCAGTACTATGTAACCGGTCCCTACGCTGCCACACAACCCATGTCGACATGGACAACTCCAGCGGCAACACAGCCACAGATGGCACAACCACAAATTTAATCTCTCGATACCTTTCCGTGTGTTTGGTGTTGCTTATGGCCATGAGAGCGTGGGAGTCAGGACGGAATTCTGCTTCTTTTTTTATTTTTTATTTTTTTTTCCAGTTGCTTTTACTTTTCCCTGGAAATAGACTCCTACGTTTCTTTGTTATTTCTGGGAGGAAAACGCCGTTTTATTGCTATGTACCTGAGAGCGGCTGTACTCATCTCTTGTCTCTTGTCTATATGGTTATGGTCACTTTGCTTTATGGTCTTGTTCCGGTGGCTCTTTGAAATTTCCTGCTTTTACCCCCTTTGCCTTGTTTCTTTCTTTTTTTTTCGGTCGGCTCTGATATGCTTCTGTTCTGGGAATCCGGGTGGTGGCGTTCTTTTCTTCTTTACGATGTCATGCAACAATAACCCGACAACCCCCAAAACGGTTCTATTTTTTTTTATCACTTTTACCTTTGGACACTAACTCCTACTTCTTACTTTGCTCTTCAACATTCTATATCTTCATTCGCTGCCAAGGCCGCTCCCTGTATGTTTGTCTTCACTGCAGTCACAGTGTCCAATGGTTTCTTTTCCAAGGTCTGGGCGGGTTTTTGTTCTCCATTCTCTATCTGTTCTGTCTGGAAGAACATGTTTTAGTGATTCCCATTCCATGGACCGTTCCATGGTCAACTCTTGCTCCATTTCCTCCTTTTCGTCCTTTGGTGGTGCTGGTGCTGGTCATGGCTATCAATACGTTCGTGTACTCAATACTCTATTCCCCACAGTCTATCGTACGGATTATAGGCTCTATGTGCCAGTGGCTGTTTGATATTTCCAAATAATGCCAATATTAGCTACTTTGGCATGAAACACGACTTGGCTCTTTTACTTCTGTATTCTTTAGTGATATACTCTATGCTCTATATTTACTGCCTCTATTTGTTCCTGCTTTATTTCTTTGTTGACAGCAAATGTAGTATGTGGTATGAGGTTCAGATGGATGTTAGTAAAGAAGCATATCCTGTCTTCATCTCATTATGCTGTTTGACTAAATTTGATATTGGCTACCCTCTTGTCATGAGATATCCCTTCTTTTAAACTTTGCATGCTATGTCAAGCTGTTTATGTTTTTGCTTTATTATCATAAAGTTGTTCTAGGTACGTGCACATTTGTATCGAAGTATATATAACTTGGCTTTTTTGCTATAACTTTCTTCAAACTATACCTATAGTCTATTGTGACAGCATATTGCTTGGAACAAACCGAAAATACAGAGCTAGATGACCTACATTTATGTATTACTCATTCTAATCATAGATTCCTACCATTTCTGTAAAATATCGAATGGAAGATCTTACTCAAACACTATTTATACACTATCACTACCAACAGTTACAGATCAGACGTACCCAGACTTGTATATCGAAATGGGTATTTCAACCAGAACAATGCCGAAACAAATATAAGCAAAACACAAAGTCAACACATGGAGCGGATATAGACTCGTCAAAGAAAGGTATATATCCCAAAAATATACACATAAACACATGACTTGGGCAAAAATAAGATAAGACAAAGGATGATGCAGAGCCTAGTCAGCGATAAAAAACAAAAGAAAAGATAATCAAGACTCATCAAGCCAGGAGAAGAATGAATATCTCACGCAGCAAATCTGATCCAGACAACCAGACCATAAGAAATTCTCGAACATCCAAACGATAAGAAGAAATTCCCTACCTCAGCGCGGGTTAGCCATACTCATAGCTCTACGATGACCATGGGCCCTAGCACCACCAGCACGCACCCGTCCACCCACAGATGAAACGCCAATCGAGTCCCGCCTCGACATGCGTCGCGGCAGACGACGTGGCGTCCGATACTCCCCATCACCGCCAGAACCATCACTTTCTGAGATCTCCGAGAGAGCGCGTCCTCGCTGCGAACGAGCGCCTGTATGTGTGATCATCGAGTCTGTTGGACTGGGAGGGGAGCGTGTGGAGGCGTTGTTTGATTCTCTGCTCGCTGCATGCGAGGGGAATTCCCGTGCTTGCGTGCGTCGGAGACTTGGTGTGTGGCGTGGGTATGGGGAGGGGCCTGGGCTTGTTCGGGTGAGGTTGGTGAGGTGTGTGGTGGTGCTGGGGTTGAGGAGGAAATGGAGATTTAAGGGGATGTTTATGGCGGTTTGGGGGATGGTTGAAGGGATTTTTGGTGCTGGGTAAGGATGGGGGTTGGAATGGCCTTGGTTTTGACTTTGGTTTTGCGGCTGGGGGGGATGTCTGCTGGCAGAATTGGGTTTCTTCAGTCCTCGGCTGGGTGGCCCACAAATTTTGTAGGGTTGTCTGTAGGAGGTTGTTCTGCAGAGAGAGACTGTTGTTTTGCAGGGCTAGGTTGTGGGTCTGTAGTTGTTGTTGATACGGGATGGGGTTGAGAGGCCCATATTGACCCGGGTAGGTGGCATGAAAGTGATTTTCAGGGGCGCCAGTCTCAGGTGGGATTTGGATCTGAGAGAAGTGTCTATTAGTTTTGGCTTACTTGATATGGTGAGAGATCGATAGTTATCTTGGTTGGTGAGCATACCTGACGGCTGAACTTCCTTCCAGGCATGGCGATGTACTCATCGAACATGCTCCCTAATTCTGCAAAGTTGAACCCGCGCGCCGGGTCCGACGGCTCGAACCGCTGTCCAATTTCTTGTTGGAAATTGACACCCCGACGCGGCAAAGGTTGGTACTCGGATAATTTCAACATCAAGGATGGGTAACTGCCAATCATTGCGTCGATGACGGGGTCGACGTCGACCGAGAGGGAAATTTTGCTGTTTGCCGCGGGTTTCTGGATCAACATGACAAAGGTAAACTCGCGCGGTAGACCAGATCTTTGGACATTGTTCTCTTCCATGGACCAGACGATTTTGCCAGCCTCGACATCGAATTCGGGGCCAGATGGGTTCTTCAAAGTACGTGCGGAGCCTTGAATGCGCATCATCTCATACCGCTTATACCGGCCGTTGACGCTCCCCGAGGGAATGACGCTTGCGCTAACGGGTAGGTCCGAGATTCCGAGAGACCCAGCTAGACTGAACGTCCACTCCATTGTCTCCGGGGATACAGTGCCATAGATCAGGTGCGGAGCATGCATGAGGAAGTGCGGGTTGCCGGGCGGATTCCCATAAGGATACAGCCTCGAACTTGAGATATTGCGGTTTCCGTGAATTGACACACTAATGGTGGCGGATTTGATACGGTGTGTGATGGTGTGCGGCGAATGAAAGGTGAATGCGAGAGCAAGAAAATCTACATGTTCGGCGTTCTCGTCTGACACGACGTTGGTGGAGTAATAACCATGCTGAAGGCGCTGAACGTGTGCAGTGATATAAGCATCGCCGGGCAATCGGCGCTCATAGATGAGAGCACGGTTGATAAGCAGACGTGGATTTGCCATATTTGGATCTGGTTGTTCTTTGTCTTTGGCCGGTGCTACACTGCGGATTGGAGTTAACAGGCGTGAGTCCGAGACACGCTCGTGTGGAATAGAAGTGAGCGACATCGTGGCGACCGTAAAGCGACAAAACCGCAGTGTCGTTCTGGTGGTCTTGCCTCGCTCTTCATCTAGCTCTAGAGCTCTTTCTAGACACGAACGGCTTTCTTTGTAATTTGGCTTGGCCTGCGTGACATACTGTCCTATATATCCTTTTAGTTGATTTCTCAATCATGAGTTCTGACGCTTTTTTCGATAATGTTTTCATCACCTGGAGCTCTTGGTCACAGGAGTGGTAGAGCCTGTCAGGTGAGCATGGGCTTGATCATGATCACTGTGATGCGACTCCTGGGATTGGGGATCTAGAGTTGAGATTGTCATTTTCATGGAAATGCAGTTCATTAGGGACAGAAGTGGCGTCATATTTGTTTCTATTTACAAAAGTAGGAGAAGTATAAGAAAGGTAGTTGGTTGCATGTGGAGGATATAGAGACGGGCGGATAAACTATTTATCCGACCAGAAACTCATCGCCGAGGTGCAATCTCCAATGTTCATCAAATCTCAGGCGACCGGGATCTAAAACGTTTTGATTCGAGCTCATTGAATTTCTGATAGAGGTGACCTTTATTCTAAATTCTCTTATATGTGTGTTCTAATCAGCCAAGTTGCCCCCAATCCCGAAAGATCTAGCTAACAATCCCTAGATTGTGTTTGTACTATATAGCATTCTGTCTTTTTATTTGCATTCCTTGCGTTATCAGCTTGTTCATTCATTTTACTTCGATTGGGGGTTTATATCTTTAGGCTTGTTATCAACCGTGCGACGCGACAGCTTCCGTTCGTCGGTCCCCTGGCGCATCACTTGGACCGAATCACCATTTCATAGCCTGAAACCGACTGGGTATGCACAGTTGAAGTTTCTGATTGAAAGCTTGTGATTATCGGTGTCTCTGTTCAATTCTGTGCTTGTACCAACGCCTGCCGCTATCATTTTTCCGTCTGTGTTACCATGATTGGCTCATACGCAGCCCAGTTGTCCCTTCGGGCGAGCCGGCAGGGCTCTCAAGTGCTTTCCAAGAACGCTCATCTTTGTATTCGATCAAATGTGTTCAAGACTGAAGCTCTTCAAAAGAGTGGATTCCGGTGTATATCTACATCAGTCCAGTCGACATTGAACCGATTACCAAGAGGGTATGGTCGTCTGCTGCTTCTTCGTTTATGCACTTCTAATTATGTACTAGAGGCTCGAAACCTCGCTGTCTGCAAACCACCCTGATCTCACCATCATTCTTCACCCAGCAAAGATGGTCTGGGTCAACATCGCCAGACAACAAAACTCCTGAACAGTAGGTCTACAGCCTCCAAGCCAAGAAACCAAATATCCGAATGGGATATGGATTAAGTGAACCAGCAGCTAACATAAGGTAGACCCGAGGAATCCAAGAAAAACCCCATTCTATCGCGGATTCCCCTGCCCACCTCCCACGAGAATATCTACACTGTACCCAACATTCTCACATTCTCCCGGCTGGTCGCTGCTCCGGTCGTCGGATATCTCTTGGTGAACAACTACCACACGGCAGCACTATCCCTGTTCGCCTACGCGGGCATCACTGACCTAGTCGATGGCTGGATTGCCCGGCGGTACAACCTCCAAACCGTGGTTGGAACCATCATTGATCCCATGGCCGATAAGCTATTGATGACCATCGGTGTTGCGTGTCTGGCCGTGAATGGCTCCCTTCCCGGTAAGTCTACCTCTTATTGATCACTTGGTGATATATGAACATGGACATGGATTGATGCATTGAATAGTGTGGCTTGCTGTGATCATTCTCGGTCGCGACATTGGTCTAGCTATCTCAGCTATCTATTACCGTTGGATTTCACTGCCTGAGCCCAAGACTATGGCCCGGTACTGGGATTTCTCGCTTCCGTCAGCGGAAGTCAAGCCTACTGAGATCTCGAAGATCAACACTGCCCTGCAGCTGGTGCTAGTGGGTAGTGCGATTGCGCTGCCTGTAGTCCCCGAGGCGTTTGTCAGTGCCTGGCATTTGAGCGAGGCTATGACTGGATTCCAGTAAGTTAACCTTTTTTTTATACCCCATGATTGTTTTTTTTTTTTTTTCGCTTTTTCGTTATATCTGGAGAACACAACCCAATGGTCCGCCCTAAGGCACTTTGAGGCTGTTTCCAGTACATACGACCATAGGGTGTGGAAAACAGGGCTTCCCGTCCGCTCAGCCGTACTCAAGCCACACGCCGGTGAGTTAGTAGTTGGGTGGGTGACCACCAGCGAATCCTCACTGTTGTATGTTTTTTGCTTTTTTTTTTGTTCTACCCTGTTCTGCATGATTGGTTTGTTGTTTTTGATTAGTTCTTTTTGCTGACCAATTTTAGGTACCTTGTTGCCGGCACCACTCTTTGGTCTGGACTCAGCTATGTCTTCTCCAACAATGCCGTAAAGATTCTTTCAAAAGAAGAAATCCAGAAGCGAATTGCTCAGGCGGCTGCCAAGCGTAAGTAGCGATCAAAAAATCAGCAGATTCAGATATTTTATTGTACAATATTTCAAAATTCACATGTTGGATTATGCCAAGAGTCAGACCGTATCCTTTCAACGGGGGTTGTACATATGCATGGAGTTCGAAATGGGAACCACATGGATACCCAAAAGGAGGTGTAGCATAGCGTGCATGACATGTGATATATCGAAGATGACAACGTGGAGGTGTGTAGTTTGATAGAAGCTTACCAGGAAACCCTGGATACATGTTAGGTGTGGAGGGTTGGCGAAAATGTCAGTATATAAGATGCCTACACAACGAGTACTCGGTATATTATATTGAATATGAAAGAATAGCCCGGTGGTACCGTGCATCAGGTCTCCATGTTCTACAATATATGGGCCAAGGCGCCGATATGCAAGTGGCTCAGATATCCCGATTACCAAGATCTCATCAGTCGGACTCCTTTTTAGGCCGAGTGGATCTCGAAAGTCGCCGAAACATGTTTGAGACTGCCGAATTAGGCAGGCGGGCCGACAAAGAAGGACGTTGTGTGGCCCGGCATCCCACATTCTTTTCCTCTTTTATATCTGCTTTAGGGGACTTTCAGGACTTCCCTATGGCTATTAAAAAGCATTCGTAAGCAAGATTTTTAATCCAGATGTTCCAACCGATTACATCCTATTCCACATTACATATGTGATATAAAAACGGAAAATTAGACCCCACGTGAAGGCCGGTGGCTGATAGGAATGGAAATTCCGTGATGACAAGCCAAATAGCCAATTAAGGGTCATCAACAGTCCGTGAACAGCCAATAGCAGCCAATAGCAGCCAATAGCAGCCAATAGCAGCCAATATAGCCCAGTCAAAAGCCAAATCGGCTAAAGCCCGACTTTATCTCCGTGCTTGAAACCAGAAAATTCTTTTGATTCATCCTGAGTCATGTAATCCACCTACTCCACTATAGCTCTTAAAGTCTCGATTCTGCATTATGATCTCGCTTCTGATTCGATAGTCGCCTTTAGCCTTCCAGGGTCCTGTGTATTCCCCTTTAGCCACTGACAAATGCATCGGAGTTAAGTGAATATTCTGATATTCTAGATTTTCTCATATAAACGGTCTTTGAGGTCGGCTATCTTTCTTCTTAAATTTCTCTATAATTCCCTTCCACATTATTTCCGGCTCTTATTTAATTCCATCATCCCCCCCTCTAATTAGCCTGGCTATAACATACATAATACCTTTGTATCTGCCGTTGAATATTGCCGGAGAGTAGAACCTATCCGAAAACCCCAACATGGAGGGCCATTCCGAACAGTCACATCCTGTCTCGGATTCCCAAGCCTATACCCAGTCCTCCAGGCAAGCAAACCAAAATGCCCATGATGTGAGCTCTGAACAACCCGAAGAGTTCCTCAGGGCTACCGAATCTCCCATCCATCCAACTTCAACCGACAGTTCAACCATCAGTTCGTCTGTAAGTGGCGATGATGGCCGTTGGGGAGAAGAGAAGGTCGGAAAGGCCGTGTCTCGTAGCGGCGCCATGGAAGACATGGAAGAGATGCGCCGCGAACTCACTCGCCTCAGTTTACACCGCACTCGCTCTGCCACTAAGAGCGTTCATCGCCACAAATCACAGGCCAGCCATCGCGATGAAGAAAAGGCCTTGGAGGACGAAGACACCGAGAACGAAGCTGACGACAGCTTCGATCTGGGTGAGTTCCTGACAGGTGGTCATCTCGAGCGCCGCACAACCGCCGGAGGACCTGCCAAGAAGGTCGGTGTCGTCTTCAAGAATCTTACCGTGAAGGGCGTCGAGACTGGCGCATCATTCGTGCGCACTCTCCCTCAGGCTGTGATTGGTACCTTCGGCCCGGATTTGTACAATCTTGTCTGCCAGTTCGTGCCGCAGCTGCGGTTCGGCAGACACCCTCCTGTTCGTGATCTCATCCATGATTTCAGCGGTGCTGTACGCGAAGGTGAGATCATGCTCGTGCTAGGCCGTCCCGGTGCTGGCTGTACTACCTTCCTCAAGGCGATTGCAAACGACCGTGGTGCTTTTGCTGGTGTCGATGGTGAGGTCAGTTACGGTGGTCTGTCAGCCGAAGACCAGAATAAGCACTTCCGTGGAGAAGTCAACTATAACCCGGAAGACGACCAGCACTTCCCCTCGCTCACTGTCTGGCAAACTCTCAAGTTCTCCCTGATCAACAAGACCCGCAAGCATGATCGGGAAAGCATCCCCATTATCATCGATGCCCTGCTCAAAATGTTCGGTATCACTCACACAAGGAATACCCTCGTTGGTAACGAGTATGTCCGCGGTGTTTCTGGAGGTGAGCGCAAGCGTGTGAGTATCGCAGAGACCCTGGCCACCAAGTCCTCCGTGGTCTGCTGGGATAACTCGACTCGCGGCCTGGATGCCAGTACTGCACTGGACTATGCCAAATCGCTCCGCATCATGACCGATGTCAGCAAGCGCACTACCTTCGTCACACTATACCAAGCCGGAGAGAGCATCTACGAGCTCATGGACAAGGTGATGGTCATTGACGAAGGCCGCATGCTCTACCAAGGTCCAGCCAACGAAGCACGACAATACTTTATTGATCTGGGCTTCTACTCCCCCCCACAATCGACTACAGCAGACTTCCTTACTTCGCTCTGCGACCCCAACGCTCGTGAGTTCCAGCCCGGCCGTGAAGCCTCCACCCCTAAGACCGCCGAGGCACTTGAGAAAGCTTTCAAGACCAGCGGAGCCTACAGCCGAATCTTGGAGGATGTCAGCAGCTACGAGAAACGTCTTCAAGATACCCAGCAGGAGGACACCCGCCGTTTCCAATCCACGGTCGCGCAGTCCAAGTCCAAGTCCGTCTCCAAGAAGTCGCCTTATACCGTCTCGTTCGTGCGCCAGGTCACGGCCTGCGTGCAGCGCGAGTTCTGGCTGCTCTGGGGTGACAAGACCTCCCTTTACACAAAATACTTCATCGTCATCTCCAACGCCCTCATCGTTTCTTCCTTGTTCTACGGAGAATCCCTGGATACCAGCGGCGCTTTCTCGCGTGGCGGTGCTCTGTTCTTCTCGATTCTGTTCCTTGGTTGGCTGCAACTGACTGAGCTGATGCCTGCTGTCACTGGTCGTGGCATTGTTGCCCGCCACAAGGATTACGCCTTCTACCGCCCCTCTGCTGTCTCCATTGCCCGTGTCGTTGTTGACTTCCCGGCCATCTTCTGTATGGTCGTCCCGTTCACATTGATCGTGTATTTCATGTCTGGTCTCGACGTCACGGCTTCCAAGTTCTTCATCTACTTCTTGTTCGTGTACACGACCACTGTGTGCATCACCTCGCTCTACCGCATGTTCGCTGCACTGTCACCCACCATTGATGACGCGGTGCGTTTCAGTGGTATTGCGTTGAATCTGCTCATTTTGTACGTTGGTTATGTTATTCCCAAACAGACTCTTATTTCGGACTCTATTTGGTTCGGTTGGCTATTCTACGTCAACCCAATCGCGTACAGTTACGAGGCGGTCTTGACAAACGAGTTCGTTGGACGTGTCATGGAATGCAGTCCATCCCAGCTTATTCCACAGGGTCCAGGTGTGGATCCTAAGTACCAGGGATGTGCTCTCACTGGGTCAACATTGGGCGAAACTTCTGTCAGTGGAGCACAGTACTTAAATGCCAATTTCCAGTTCACGCGCAGCCACCTGTGGCGTAATTTTGGTGTTGTCATTGCTTTCACCGTGCTGTACATTCTGGTGACTGTCATTGCCGCTGAGGTACTCTCATTTGTTGGTGGCGGAGGTGGTGCTCTGGTCTTCAAGAAGTCCAAGCGCGCTAAGAAGATCACTGCCCAGGGTACCAACACCAACGATGAAGAGAAGGTCGCCAGTGCAAATGACAATGCTGCCCTTGCTCGTGGCACGGCGTCTTCTGATGCCGATGCCACTTTCAACCGCCTGTCCTCCAGTGAGCGCTGCTTCACCTGGCAGAATGTTGAATATACCGTCCCCTATGGCAATGGAACACGCAAGCTTCTCAACGGTGTCAACGGCTACGCCAAGCCCGGTGTCATGATTGCCCTGATGGGTGCCTCTGGTGCAGGAAAGACGACTCTACTCAATACTTTGGCCCAGCGCCAGAAGATGGGTGTCGTGACTGGAGATATGCTCGTCGATGGCCACAAGCTGGGTCCTGATTTCCAGCGTGGTACTGGTTTCTGTGAGCAAATGGATTTGCACGACAATACCTCCACTATCCGCGAAGCCTTCGAGTTCTCAGCCATCCTCCGTCAGCCCCGTGATGTCCCGCGCCAAGAGAAAATTGACTATGTGAACCGAATCATTGACCTTCTCGAACTCGAGGATATCCAGGACGCTATCATCGGCTCTCTGAATGTCGAGCAGAAGAAGCGTGTTACTATCGGCGTCGAGCTCGCAGCCAAGCCCAGTCTGCTTCTGTTCCTGGACGAGCCCACCTCCGGTCTCGACAGCCAAGCTGCATTCTCCATCGTCCGTTTCCTCAAGAAACTCTCCCAAGCTGGTCAGGCCATCGTCTGCACAATCCACCAGCCCTCTTCCATGATCATCCAGCAATTCGACATGATTCTCGCCCTCAACCCCGGCGGCAACACCTTCTACTTTGGTCCAGTCGGCAAAGAAGGATCCTCCGTAATCAAGTACTTCGGTGATCGCGGCTTCGTCTGCCCGCCATCAAAGAACGTCGCCGAGTTTATTCTGGAAACAGCCGCCAAAGCAACCCACCGCAACGGCAAACTAGTTGACTGGAACGAAGAATGGCGCAACTCGGATGAGAACCGCAAAATGCTCGCCGAGATCGACCTCATCCGCTCAGAACGCAGTAAACTCCCAATTGAGGAATCTGGCTCCGCCCAACACGAATTCGCCGCAACAACATCAACCCAAACCATCCAGTTAACGAAACGTCTCTTCACAAACTACTGGCGCGATCCATCCTACTACTACAGCAAACTCTTCGTCTCGGTCATCATCGGCATCTTCAACGGCTTCACCTTCTACATGCTCTCAAACACTGTAGCCTCAATGCAAGACCGCATGTTCTCCGTCTTCCTAATCATCCTCATCCCCCCCATCGTCCTCAACTCCATCGTCCCGAAATTCTACATCAACCGCGCCCTCTGGGAAGCACGCGAATACCCCTCCCGTATCTACGGCTGGTTCGCCTTCTGCACTGCAAACGTCGTCTGCGAGATCCCCGCTGCCATAATCTCTGGCCTGATCTACTGGCTGCTATGGTACTACCCCGTCGGATTCCCCACAGACTCTAGTAGTGCAGGCTACGTCTTCCTCATGACGATACTATTCTTCCTCTTCCAGGCCTCATGGGGTCAGTGGGTCTGCGCCTTCGCGCCTTCTTTCACTGTGATCTCGAACGTCCTCCCCTTCTTCTTCGTCATGGTCAACCTCTTCAACGGTATCGTCCGTCCCTACGCCGATTACCCGGTCTTCTGGAAATACTGGATGTACTACGTCAACCCTGTTACTTGGTGGCTGCGCGGTGTGCTCTCGGCTGTTCTGCCACAGGTCGAGATAGAATGTACCTCGCTCGAAGCTACACACTTCGATCCCCCGTCTGGTCAAACTTGTGGTGCTTATGCTGGTGGCTTTGTCGACTCTGCTAAGGTTGGATACCTGGTTAACCCCAAAGCTACTGCCGACTGTCAGTACTGTCCTTTCACGGATGGTGCGCAGTATATGGCGAATCTGAATGTTCATAATGACGACAAGTGGAAATGCTTTGGTATTTTCCTCGCTTTTGTTATCATCAACTGGGCCTTGGTTTATTTCTTCATCTACACTGTCCGTGTGAGAGGCTGGAGCTTTGGTCTTGCTTCGGTCTTTGGCGTGGGTGGGTTGATGATTGATCGTGTAAAGGGGTTGTTCAAGGGGAAGAAGACTGATGAAGCTTAGAGGCTTCAAAAGTCTTGGTTATCTATTTTAATTTCTGTTCTCATATCAAGATGCATTTACATAGAGCGTGGTATCGGATATATCCAGGATCAATCTTAGAAGGACATATCATCATTGGATTTATATTACTTGGTTGCATATCGTAGTATTTCCTCTCAGGACATAAACCATTTTTTCATTTGTTTGTTTTTGCTTTGAATATCACAGCATAATTGATACATAATACATGAAGTGCTTGAACCTTCGTTCATTTGTTTCCCATTAAACCCACCAGACAATTCGATCCGAACTCCTCCTATCCCAAATACTCATGACAAGGATGGTGCGAATCTAGACTCCCACCGGATATTTCAGATGTAGACATAGCCCTAGAGACAACTCTGATGTAGAGTGTAAACAAAGGCAAGTCTTGAGATTGAGGTTCAAATCAAACCCCGAAGAAAAAGGGCTTTCGGTTCTCCGCCAACGGAACAGCGGGTACTCTGACCGGGACAGGGACAGTGTCCCTAAAGACCTCGGCTGGAAGGGGAGCAGGAGGGACGGTTCCCTGCGTTTCTGGTCCCTTGTCTTTCTCCCGGGCCTTCTTATCATTGATGATAGGCACAAGCACGCCGCATTCCCAGTTGCGACAATTCATCTTCAGCTGTTTCGTCTTAGGATCCTTGACAATACGACCCCTGGTCTGTGTTAGCTTTGATATTACAACGACAGAAGTATAGGTATGAATGCACCATGCGCTCTCTGACAAATTCGCACTTCCCACGTAAGCCCAGCCTCGGCACTCCTTGTTATCCGGCATATCGATCGGCGTAGAAGGATGAACGAAGACAAGCTTTATCAAGGAATGAGAGTTAGTAACAAATCGTCGTAACCAGCCCGCTGCAGAACTACTCACTTTGTTATGCATCAAGACTCCGCGCTCACTGACACAATCTCTAAGCGTGTCGCGCGGGAAATTGGCACTCGACCACCAGGCTGGATTAAAGCAAATTGTGCCAATGGCGTGTTTGGGGTTATTGTGTACGTCTCGCACGGTCTGGTCCGATGGGAAGTAAATGCGGAAGTGGTCAAGACATTCTTTGTTATGCGCTGTCACAAGCTCTGTGTTTTTCTTGTTGGCGGTTCGGAGCTCGTACTCTAGTAGAGCGTTGTCACCTGGTGAATTAGAGTGGGTTAGATTATTTGATCTTATTTTTTGTAGGATAAACGCGTACCTTTGCAGGCAAGATAGATAGAGCGCAGGAATGGAGTGTTGATATTTCCCAGCGATGAGGCCTGAGTGTGTTGTTAGTGTGCCAAGTAGTATTCTGAATGGGGACATAGAGCAAGAAACTTACGATGTAATCGACGTTAATGGGTGCCTTTGTCTCTAGGCCGAGAGTTTTGACGGCACGGCCCAGGCCACTGAATCCAGTGCGTTGCCATTTGCCTTCGGTGTTGGTTCCGCCACTGACATTGTTAGCCGGTGGTTTATATTTTGGTATGGCAATAGACCAGGGGAAGAAATACATACACTGTATGAACAAATGCATAGCGCTTCGTCTCGGTGAAGTCAAACGAATCTAGCTTCTTGATGATGTTGGGGTGGAGGTCTGAAGCCTGAAGGAAGTAGACTAGTTCTTTGTAGAATGGGGTGGTTCCAGCATCAGGGACTTCAAGCCTGGGGAGATCAATAAGGAATACAATCTAGACACGGTTAGAGATTTTCAAGGGAAAAAAACCATTAGCCGGACGTGACCACATACGTTTTCCATGAGCCTGTCCTCTCCCCAGTCGGTGGGAGTGAGATTGGCGGAAGGAACTGCGATACGAAGATATCCTGGGTGGAACATCAGGAGCAGCTTAGAATGCATACAGAACACTTGGGGCTCCATAGGTGGGAAACATAGGCGGAAATTAGGCATGTTGCTGACATCCTGCCGGTATTGCTCTCGCTGTAAATGAAGTTAGTCCATGTCATTCGAGGTCATCGTGCAATGCTAACCGTCTCTTCATCATTTGCCTGCATGACAAAGATGATTCGTGTTGTCATATTATTAAACTTGGAGTAAAGCCATGGCATGTCCCATAGAAATGAGCTAAACACGCCTAACTCCAGATCATCTCGCTGGATGACTTCCTCAATTGTGATTTCATTTCCACTGCGAGGGAAACCAGTAATATGTGTTTTCTTCACAGCACCAAGAGGCCATTGGGCCACTGAGCGGGAGGTAGGTTGGATGTGATTCGGAGCATTTGATGTAAGCTGTCGGCAGACTTCGGTATGAGACCTCACTCGAGCCGAGCTCGCCTGGGGAGCAGATTGGAACGGATTGCGTATAGCAACAGAGGGACGGGGTGGCTCAGTTCGAGGGAGCTTCCGGCTACCCTGAGATGGCGGAGTGGACGAAGAGTCGTCGGCCTTGCGCTTAGCGAGACGTGCAAGACGTTCCTCCTCCATCTGCTTCCGGTTCATGCCCAATAGTGAGCCCACCGACGCTACAGCGACATCATGCGGGACACTTGCGTGATTGACAGACTGTGCATTTTTGGGATTTTTGATCTCCTCGTTAGGCTCCATGGACATAGCAAGAGCGCGTTGCAGTTGCTCCCGATCATGGTCATCTTCAGTCTCAGAACTAACCACAGACTCTGACTTGGGGAAAACTTCCTCAATGTCCGAGTCGCTTCCCGAGTTAATGGTTAAATCCACATAGTTATCCTGGGAGGCCTGAGATGAGGGACGCCTGTTCTGCTGGCGATACATATCTTGGCGAGAGGCCTCAATAGCAGCGTCCAAATCAGGATCCACTAGAGGTTCCATCATGAGAACCTAACAAAGACTGAAATGCAGATTGTTGAAAAAGAAAGACAAAGATGAGGAGATACGAAAAGATGTGGATGGTAGGTGGTAATGGGATGTTTGATGTGTGGAGTATGACTTGGAGTTCTTCAAATGTGAGAATGGAAAGCTGTACGCGCGGGCTGTGATTAAAAGAACTCCCAGGAGCTAGAAGAGATATTAGGATATCCAGAGCCTCCAAGGCCTGTTATTGCCCAGAACTGCTTCTTTTCACGTTCTACTTTGAGATGTCGTCTCAACATGGAACCCCTGTTAGGTAAACAACCGACACGTGACTGGCCATGCAATATCTGGAGTATATCTATCTTTCGCTCGTTATGCTGTGCTTTTAATCAAATGCTTGGTCGCTTTATACCTCTTTTTTTCTAGTTAATTATTCATAGAATCAGTGGTCTAAAGCACCTTGTGAATCTAATTTATGTTGACTATCTGGGCATTTCTTGGCTAATGGGCTAAGAGAGGGACAAGACCGAACTATAGCACACGCGGGCTACCCAATTGTACAGAACATATACACAATATAATTTATGACATGTCTGCTGTATTGAAGATGCATGTTGATTCCCTTCAATAAATAATCTCAATGCCTATTCACAAAAGAACACGGGAAGAAACCACTTTGAACTATACTACAACTCCGAACAAGTGTGCAGTAAATTCATCGAGAAAGGTAGGCGTAGCACCCATAGATATCAGAATCACAGAAAATAGAAGCATTGAGGAGTAGACAGATATTGAATGGTATTCGTGGGGCAGCGCCGAGTCGATGCCTGGTAACGCCGGCGACACGTTCACTCCCAGCTCTGCGATTGTCAACATCACTGATCCCATCACGAACCACATCTCATATCCAATCGCAATCATTCATCACACATAATCATCAATTTCACAAATGAAGAAGATCAAAGACACCGTTCTTCGCATCCGAGCGAGGGCTTCGGCCACGCGAGAGTGCATCCGAGCAAGGCTTTCGACCATGTGCAAGTTCAAAAAAGCGACAACTTCGGTGGCTCCGGATCCAGCGGCTTCGGCGGTTCAGCACAAGTCTGACCAAGCCATTGAGCTAGTCCCGGCGTCCCAAAAGATGGCTCATACATACATGTAGTAAGTTGACTCAATCCATGAGCGTGATGCCATCAAGAAGTCCATATGATCTAACAAAGCGCCAGTTCCGATACCCCGCTTCGCTATCTTGCCCCTTCCACCAACCTTAACACTGATGAAATAAACTGGTTGTCCTTTGGCGAGTGGGGTTCATTCGAGAAGCGCTTCCACGATGACATGAGAAGGTACCCCCCAGAGATGATCGTGGACCGACGTAGCCCATGCCCATTCAATTGGCTGCCGCTGGATATTCGCGCTAAGATATGGAAGTATGTTTTCGGAGACACCAAGGAAGCCATATTTCTTAGAAAGGATGGTATTGCACCAAAGATCCCAACTTCCATGCGATTTGTGTCGCTCGACTTGATGTCAGAGGCTTGGTTTGCATGGGTCAATTCAATGAGCAACCGGACTCTGGTGGTGATGGACTTCCCGCGACACGCCTATCTTGAACCACCCTGCCCAATTCTTCGAGATCTGTCGGCAGTCCGCCTCCGAGCACTCAAGTTAACACTTGGAGACAACAACGCCGAGAAGGCGGCGAGGAGAAGCCGGCAGTTGGTGAAGTTCATCTCAAAGCACAGAGATGATGGCCTCCTCGCCACTCGCACGTTGATTATTGAGTTGCGAAAGAACTGGACAAGCGGTGGCTTCACCGAGGTGGATCTTGCAGGCCTTCTGACCTGCGGAGCTTTCGCTCACATTGAGCGCATCCGTATTCACGGATGGATCAGAAGTGAGAGCTTGGACCGGCTTTTGAAGCGAGCCCAGCGGATGGCCTAGGCCTGGTTCTGGCGGCTGCCCTGTTCTCAGCAGGGATAGGCCTATGATATTTTCATAGGCAGTGCAAAACCATATCGACGATAGCGAAAAATGAATCTCTATCAGCAGTTGATTTGTCAAGTCCAAGACCAACAAGGAGTAGTCTCTTTTCACTAGGTGTTTTCATTGCAATAGCCGTAGCAATCTGACGAGCAAGTAGTTGACCTGTTGTATCTTGCCCAGCAGAATAACCACCAAGTAATGTGGTGGTAGTCAAATTTTTGAGGGGCAAAAGAGCATCATCACCCTCACTGAGGGTGTGCATGCCCTCAGTGCCTGGGTTCTGGTTCTCCATCGGTACATGCAACTATATGACATTAGCGACGTTTGCTGAAGCTATATCCGGAACATACCCAGTGCCCTAATCGTCCTGCTTGTGAGATAGTGACCATGATTTTGTCGCTAAAGTTCATTATCCCAACATCTGTTTGTGTACCATTGACTAACCCCACAACTTGCTTAGTGGTGGCAGGAAATGGTAGGCTGAGAGAGTCTTGCATAGAGCTTGTATCAAAAGAAGTAGTCATGGTGATGAGAATTGATCTTGGTTGGGATATTTAAAAGCCCTAGAGAAGAATATAGGTGATGTAACTAGGTGTATCGGACTGCGGGAGGTCGACCTGTGGACGCGCTTTCATGAGCGGTGAGTTTCACCGCCTCGGCTCAGATCCGCAATATCTGACCGCCTTTATTTTTTTCTTGATGAAGAAACAGTTGGATTGCAGAGCTTGCATACTTAGCAAATAATCTTTTTTTGTTCTCAGTCGGAGTAGCTGCAGTGATTCAATATGCCGCCTAAATTTACACCACGTCTGCGAAAACAAAGACACCGGCAAAACCCAGACGGCGAGTCGGCTGATACCAATGTCGCACAGCTTGAGCCTGTCTCCAAGGACGAGAAGGAGGCACGGCGACAGAAGCTGAAGGGAGAGCTACGAGAGGAACATCCTCAAATGTCGTCAAAGAAGCAGAAGCGCTTGGATAAATATATTGTATGAGGATCGCCGCTTTGAAATCTACGGCTCTAACATTTCCCTAGGAAAACAAACTTAGAAAGGAAGAAAATATCGAATTGTTGAAGAAATTAGCCGGATCATCTGTCGACACATCGGCCTTACAAAGCTCCAGAGATCTTTCCAACAAGCGCAAGAGACATGAGGACGACTCATCTGCACGAACGGCCGTTTCCGCGCCAAAAGATAACGCTCCCGCAGATGTATCAGGGTATGATACTGACGATTCGGATATCCACCTGAAAGTCTCCGATCCCACAACAGATCCCGATGAACAAAAGTTACGAGAAGAGGCAGCCGCCGGAAGTGGTCTTAAGCGGCCACTAGAGCTAGGAGCCGATGGATTTCCTGTTCTTAAGAAGCGGAAGCGCGCACCGAAGAAGAAGAAGCCCGCACCTGCGCTAGTAAAAGCCGAGGTTGCATGGGAGGGTTTCGACTCGGGTGAGGAGGATGAAGATGAAGATGAAGAAGATGTCGACGAGGAGTCCGGAAGTGATATCGAAGAGGACTCAGAAGAGGAAGACATTTCGTCCTCTGAAGGTATTTCCGAGGATGAAGATGAGGATGAGGATGAGGATGAGGATGAGGACTCAGAAGACTCAGAAGACTCAGAAGACTCAGAAGATGACGACGAGATGGACGAAGATAAGCCAACACTCAAGACTCGCCAGTCAGCCTTCAAATCTTGGGCGGTACAGCAGATCAATGAAGCCGCAGGGTTCAAACCCGCTGAGGGAGCTGTAACCGAGGAAGAGCAGGTGTTCGACCCATCTAAGTTGCCAGCAAGCCACAATACCATCCAAGAAGAGCCTCTCCCTCGGGAGCTTCAGGTGACTCATGGCGATCCCAATCGCAAGGCATACAGTGTCGCAGTTAACCGCACGGAGGAAATCCAAGTCGCCCGTCTTGGACTCCCTGTCGTTGGCGAAGAACAGAAAATCATGGAAGCGATCCATAATAACTCGGTTGTCGTCATTTGGGGTGCTACTGGTAGCGGAAAGACAACCCAGCTTCCCCAGTTCCTCTTCGAATCTGGCTTTGGGTCCCCGGGCAGCCCTAATCCGGGCCTAATTGGTGTCACCCAGCCTCGCCGAGTCGCGGCCGTGAGTATGGCGAACCGCGTTGCTCAGGAATTGGGTCAACATGCCGAGAAGGTGTCTTATCAGATTCGATTCGAGTCTACAGCATCGAAGAAGACAGCCATTAAGTTCATGACTGATGGTATTCTTCTACGAGAGATTGCAGATGACTTTGCCCTTCGCAAGTACTCTATCATTCTTATTGATGAGGCTCACGAGCGCAGCGTCAACACTGATATTCTGATTGGAATGGTCAGTCGTATTGTGGGCCTGCGCAAGTCTTTGAGCGAAGAGGACCCGTCTGTCAAGCCTTTGAAGGTCGTCATCATGTCGGCCACTCTCCGTATTTCAGATTTCACCGAAAACCCAAGTCTTTTCCGTAACGGTGCACCCCCCTTGGTCCAAGCCGAGGGTCGCCAGTACCCTGTTGCAGTTCATTTCTCCCGCCGCACCCAGCGTGACTACGTTGAAGATGCGTTCCGCAAGGTTTCCCGCGGACATCGCAAACTACCTGCCGGTGGAATGCTTGTGTTCTTGACTGGTCAGAACGAAATTCGGCAGCTTTCTAAGCGACTGAAGCAGGCATTTAAACCTACCCAGCGGGAAGATACGACACAGGCAAAGGTGCAGCTATCAGCTACCGAGGCACCTCTAGAAGCAGAGGACCTTGAGCTGGGCGGTACCGAGATGGAAAATCCAGGGCATGATGATTACGACAGTGACATGGAGATTACTGGACTAGATGACGCAGAGGAAGACGAAGGCTTCGAACTTGCTGAAGGCGAAGAGGCCATGGACTCGTCAACTCGCGTTCACGTCTTGCCTCTATACTCTCAACTTCCCACCAAAGAACAGATGAAGGTGTTTGAGCCGGCCCCAGAGAACTCCAGAATGATTATCCTCGCAACCAACGTTGCCGAGACATCTCTTACCATCCCCGGTATCAAGTATGTCTTTGACTGCGGTCGCGCCAAGGAGAAGCAGTTCGATCTCTTCACCGGAGTCCAAAGCTTCCAGGTTGGCTGGATCAGCAAGGCAAGCGCAAACCAGCGAGCTGGTCGAGCTGGTCGAACAGGGCCTGGTCACTGTTACCGACTGTACTCATCTGCGGTATACGAAGGTGATTTCGCTGAATACACCGACCCAGAGATCCTCCGCACGCCCATCGAAGGCGTTGTCCTCCAGATGAAGAGCATGGGTCTGCACAACGTGATCAACTTCCCATTCCCCACACCCCCAAGTCGCCAAGGTCTCGCGAAGGCAGAGAAGCTCCTCAAAAACCTCGGCGCTCTCACAGCCGAAGGCCAAATAACGCCTATCGGCCGTCGTCTCGCAACATACCCTCTCTCCCCCCGGTTCAGCAAAATGCTCCACATCGGTCATCAACACGGCTGCATGCCCTACGTGATTGCCCTAGTCGCAGCGCTCGCAGTTGGCGACCTCTTCGTCCCAGAAAACCAACTCGACCCTAACCAACCCCTCCCCACCACAGCCAAGAAGCAAATCGCCGACGACAGCGATAGCGACAGCGACAGACGCAAGGTCTACACAAACGCAGACCGCCTCGAAGACGACGAGCGCGAGCAACGCAAGAAATCGCACGCCCGCGCCCAACGCCTCTTCAGCAAACACGACGACACCTCCGACGCCTTGAAATCTCTCTCCGCAATGTGCGCCTACGCCTACGCCTCCGACGGCGACGCCTTCAGCGAAAAAATGTTCCTCCGCGCAAAGGCATTCAAAGAAGCAACCCAGCTCCGCCGCCAGCTGACAGACATCGTGCGCTCAAACAACCCAGGCCTAGTCCCCGCCTACGAAGCCCGTCTACCAGAGCCCTCAGCAAAGCAGATCAAGGCCCTCAAGCAGATCGTCACTGCAGGATTCATCGATCACGTCGCTATCCGCGCTGATCTCGCTCCTGTCCCGCCGGAGAACCCGCGCGCCCCCCGTCGCGCCATAGACGTCCCTTACCTGACGCTCTTCCGCTCACGCGACGGTAATGGCCAGGATCTGGAGGAACGAGCTGTTTACGTGCATCCGTCTTCGCTTCTCGCTAAGCTCTCACCAAAGGAAATGCCGAAGTTCATCACTTACTCGCATCTCCAGCAGTCTTCTGCTTCGCTGGTCTCAGACCAGGTGCCTAAAATTAGAATGTTCCCGCTTGTTGCTCCTAGTGCATTGCAGCTCTCGGCGATTGCGCATGATACACCTCTTATTAAGTACGGCAAGCCGATTGGCAAGGCTGATGCTATCGAGGGCGTGCCGCCGCGCAGATCTTGCTGGGTTATTCCTGAATTGGTGGGTGATGCGGGCAGTGTGGGCTGGCCGATGCCCGCTAAGAAGGTTGTGCAAAAGAAGGATCCAAAGGAGGGTTGGATTATTGAAAAGTTTGTGGCATAAGCACTGGTTCTGGTGTATTATAGATGAGGTTATGATATCCAATTGTTCATTTCTTTGCATTCGAAGATTGTACATAACATGGACAATAAAAAAAGAAAAACTTGTTCATGCAACCCTCTTTCCATAATAACCCCAATATAACCCTAACGCCAGTTAACACCATTACTTGAGAAAGACACAAGCAGAAGCAAAAACAAACAAATCAAGACCTAATCTAATCCCTCCTTCTCTCCCGATAATCACGAGAACTAGAAATCTCCCCAGTCTCCCGATCCTCCCGCAACCCAAAAGCCCTACGCAACCTCTCCGTCTCTTCAATCTTCGCTTCAGCAAGCTCATGAACCTGATAAGACTTAAGATTGCGCCTATCCCTACCACCCCCAGCCCCAGACCCAGCAAAAGGTTTCTTAAAGCCGGACTCTCCACGCTGCAAATCCTCCTCCAGCTCATTCAACAACCGCTGCCGAAGAGTATCACACCGCTCGTCAATCTCTTCTTCCGTAAGGACCTTCTCTCCCTCATCCGCCTCGCCATCCTCGCCACCTTCTTCCTTCTTAGCAGCATTCTTCCCCTTCTTATTCTTCTTATCGGCTTCTTCTTCAATTCGCTCATTCTCTTCTTCCAGTCGCTCCCGCTCTTCCATCACTTTCACCTCGATCGCGCGCTTGCGGTCGTGCTCGAGGATCTGCTTGTCCGGCATGCGCTGCTTGAATGATCGGTCCATTGGCCCGCTGCCATTCGCACCGCTGACAGGTGGGTAGGGAGCGCCGTAGCCTGTGCTGCGGGGTTTGAGGAGAGCGGAGTTGCGCTGCACGTAGCCTGATGTGCCGCTACCGCGCGGGGTTGTGAGGCCGACGTTGGAGGACATTTTGGTGATTGGGGAGTTGGTTTGGTATGTGGTTTGGTTTGGAAATTATTGAGTGAAATCTGATCGGGGGATCTTTGGGAAGATTATTCTTTGTGATTGTTGTGGCGATGATTATTCTTGTAGGTTTGTAGGTTGTAGTTTTGCGGGATGAAGAGCTCGGAGCTAATCTAGATGCCGGCTTGATGTGGTCTCTTTCGGGCTCGGATTGGAAATTCAACGATAACAGGTGGATGAATCGACAGCGTAGCTTTTTATCTGTTGATGCGCAGAGAAAAAAGCGCTGATCACAGTGTTGAGGTAGAGGGATGGCAGACGGGGTTTGCTCCAACTCCATCAAAATGCGCCGTCTTATCGGGAATCACGGGATTGATATCACGTGTGATAGGATCTATACGAGTCACGTGAGTGTACTACATTAATCTATGCATTGCGGTCTTGGGCTAGGGGCTCGGAATATGCTACAATGTATCAACATACGGTACAGTGATTTTGAGCAAAGTTGAAATCAAGTCATAATGCATTGATAATACAGCCACTAGCAAGATAAGGAAAAGAGGACCACAGAAGAAATTATCAACACGGCATGACAACTCGGAGATAAGACGAAGTCCACAAGAGCCAGGCAGCTATAACAAGCTCCCAACAGGCAAGCAGAATCGAACATGAAGGCCGATAAGCACAGAAGCAAGAACACCTTTGATAAGAACACCTTGATGCGAAAGGAAAGCCGTGGAGCTCGGACTCGAAATCATAGCCATAAGTTGAGATATGTTGACTTGGCCAGGAAAAAGGAAATGTGTAGAAAGAAGGTAGTAGGTAGTTCTGGGTAGATCATGCAGATGCCATGGCACAAATGAACTGTGCAAAGTGTTTGATTCTTTTCCTGGTATTTTCTGGATCCAAATGTGAATGTGGAAGGTCCCGGACTCCATGCTATGGGCATACGCGCTCTGAATTCATGAAGAGCGGAATATCAGATCCGTCTCCCCTTTCCAGCCGGTTGCCGATTTTTCCCACATCACAGCCGCCTTGATCCCGTGACAAAATAAAAATAAATGGAAGAAGTGGACAGAACAAAGACGCCGGAGCCATATCGATTCTCGGACCTGGATCTCATAGCGAGAAGCATTGACAATGATTCACAAACAAATCGTAAGAATAAATGAACATGTCAAGAAAGAAACAAGAACAAGTAAGGTAAGATAAGAAATAAGTGGGTGGTCCGAGATCGAGTTCGAGATCAACACAAGAAAGATAAAAGAAATAAAAACATTCCAGGCCCTCATTGTTGCGCCGTCAAAGCCATGGTCAAATAGGGGAGAATCACATAGACGTTGGTAACATATATCCCGCCTGATTCCCCTGTATGTATACGCCCCGTATTAGATAGAGAACAAGAAGTCACTCGGCTCAGATCAAATCAGGATTAGAAAGATTATGTTGGGCGAGCAAGGTAAAGTGTGCAACGAATTAGTGAGCACTAGTGACATCGACCGGGACGGTAACACCGGTGTTGCCCGTCTCGGGACTCGAAACCGAGGTCACTGTGCTCTGAGCAAGACCCTTCGACTCGAGGGTAGTATCGACGGTAGTCTGATCCGTCGGAGGAGGGGTGGGTGGGGCGTTGCCCACGAAAGGAGCCCGGGGCTGCTCGGTGGGGATTGAGCGCTTTGCGGGCTGTGGAGAGGATTTGTGGGAGTGAGGGGGAGTGGTCGAGGTGGTGTGGGGCAGAGGACCAGTCGCAGGAGAGTTGGGGTCAAAAATGAGCTTCTCGATAGCGACAATTTGCTTGCCATAGCTGAACTTCTTCAGCTGACTGAGGAGAGGCTTGATCTGATCGATGAGGGCTTCACGCTCGGCATCTTTCAATTGGCCCAGCACTTTCTCTGTTGGAAATTAGTATCGCACATAACGAGCACAGTGGGATCAGACTTACGAATAACATAGTTGCCATACTGGTCACGCATAAGGCCTAGGAGAGGGCTCTCGCCGCGGTCATTCGCGGAGGTGAGGGTGCTGATGATGTGGATACGCTCATGTTCCGCACCAAACTCAATGCTCTTCTCAACCACATTGCTAGCGAACTTGTGCTTTGAGTAGGCGAGAAGCTGGCCCATAACAATGTCGATCATGCGAGTGCGGTCCTTATCGTCACCGTTCTCAATGACATGCTGGATGACATAGTTGCCGAACTGGTCAGGGATCAGATTAGAGGTGCAGGCATGGAGCTCAGCCAGAATGGACTGCCGGTCTACCTCCTCACAGTGCTCGAGCATTCTCTGAATGACACGGCAACCATAAGGATGAGCAGCCAGTCGGTTGACCTGGCCGCGGAAGGCATTGATGATGAACTGGACATATTGCGAAGGAACACGCTCAATGGCCTTCTGGATGACATGGTTGCCGTTCTGATCCCGAACACACTTGAGGACATGGTTCTCCAGTTCCTTGACCATCGCGGCTTGTTGGTCAGTCAGGATGTGCTCTAGGGCCTTCTGGACCACCCGGCATCCATACATCTGAGTCGACAGGGCGAGAACATGGCCACGCATCTGGTTGGCCAAAATCTTCTTCTGGGTCTGGTTGCCGTGCTCGAACAACTTCTGGACGACGTAGTTGCCGAAGACATCAGTCATCAACTGAAGACAGTTGGGCTGGATCTCACGGAACACCTGTTCCTTCTCGTCGCTGTTCGCGGTTTCAAGCTTCTGTTGAATGAAGCGAGAACCGTGCTGGTCACCACTGAACTCGACCACGTGGTTGTAGATGTCCTTCAGCTCGTAGCGCTTGTTTCCCTTGCTGTTGGCCCTAAACTCTTCGAGGAGGGGGCTACGGACAACCTGGGTGGGGTCATGCTCACGCTGAGTGCGCGAAACCAGAGCGGCTGCGCCCAGGCCACTCAGATGACCTACTGGATAGAATCCGGAGAGAGCGTTCAAGCGAGAAGCCTGGTAAGCTTGGAAATCGTAAGACGGGGGGTACTGCATCCGGGAGGAACTTTGGGCAAGTTCCTGTTCCTGAAAGTTTCGTAGTCTGCGCTCGAAGGCTGCGACTTGGCTTTCATTCGCACCTGTGTTGCGGTATTGACCGGTGGCCCCGTCGACTCCAGTGTAGATGGGACTATCCATGCGGGCATAGTCCGAGGGTGAGATGGAGCCAGTGTTGGCGGCTCTGGATCGTGCCTGATAGGCAAGCTGCATCTCCTGTGCAGCTTCTGCGGTGTATCCAAGTGCTTGATAAGCTTCTTCATTGTTCTGATACTTGCCACGCTGGAAAGAGCCATCAAAGGATGCATGGGGAACAAATGAGGGTCGCTGAGTGGCTTGGGATGCGTAGTTGGCTTCGTTGAGCTGCAGCTTGTTGAAGCCGGTGTTGAGGTCCATCGAGCCACCGCTGTAGCGGCCATCAATGCTGTGGTTGTCGGAGTAGAAAGAGGGATGAGCGGAGTGAGCTGGACGTTGAGTAGCATAGGAGGCGGAGTTGTGAGACGCATGAGATAGTGCACTACGACCCTGGGGAGGGGACACATGCTCTGCAATTCCAGACCCCAAGGATCCCATGCCCATTGAACCACCAATGCCATCTCCGCTTGCACCATCGAGGGGATTCGAGAAGCCAGGTTTCACAGGGAAAGTCGCGCCGACAGGGCTGCCGCCGAGACCGGTCGTGCTGATCTGTCGTCGGCCAGCAAACCCACCGAATGATATACCATCTCCGGAGGGAGACACACCCTCGGACGCAGCGTTCAGGTAGGGTCGGTGACTTGCTGTGCCAGTGGCGGTGTTGATGCCGGTGGTGCGGGGTAGGGCAAAGTAAGAGCTATCACTGGCTTCGTTGATAGCAGGGGCACTGCGGTCATTGGCACGAGCCTGGGTCGGGGATGTGGCGAGACCTCTGGTCTGGAAGGCGGGGTTGGCGGTGACGGTGCCCCAAGGCAGGTTGGCACGGCCCGACCAGCCATCTGACTCGGATGTAGAGAGGAGGGAACCTGATCCAGACTTTCCTTCGAATGCAGTCTCGGTGAGATGTTGATCTGGATGGTGTGTTAGCATAGACCATACCCCAATGGATAGACGATGACTGACCATCGCCGAATCCTCCTAGGTTAGAGTCGCCCCAGATGTTGTTCTTC